AAAAATGACGATATCGAGGAGAAAAATTATCACAATTGACATCGTGAGCTATAGGGAACGGAGTACCTGGGGCGGTCGATGGATTAAGCAGAACGGGGAATGGACTTTCTTGAATAATGGTGTGAGTTGCATAATCCTTGAGTTTGACAGAGGGAATCTTGACGCGCTTACCACGTCCCAAATCGGAATCAAGAGAAGTAGAGTCCGGAGCTGGGTAGAAGATGCTAAAGATGCATCAGGCAAAACTGGCGGAGTAGGCAGTGAGGGCGCAAGAGGTGGGTATTCCCAGATTCTTCCGGAACCATGTCAGCCTCAGTGTGAAAAGGAAATTGATCTTCAAAAAATTTAACGTCACGAGAGACAAAGTATTCATGGGTCTCGAGATCATATACCCGCCATCCCTTTATAATATTACGAGATATTATATTATAAGCCCAAGGTGTATCCCACAAAAACACATTTTCTGCTACGACTGAGAAATTTATCTTTGGTAGAGCGGAGATTGTGAGCAAAACATAAGCAACCAAACACACAAAGAGCATCATAGTCTGCACTCTTCCCAAACAAAAACTCAAAAGGGGTTTTGTGCCCAAGAATGGTAGACGGAGTACGATTAATAAGGTGTGCCGCTGTCAGCACACACTCCCCCCAAAATTGAATAGGCAGGTGTGCCTGAAAACGCAAAGCACGCGCAACATTAAGAATGTGCCGATGCTTGCGTTCAACTCGCCCATTTTGTTGAGGCGTGGCAACACATGAGGTATGAAAAACAATTCCTGAAGTACGAAAATATTCTCGGAGACAATTAAATTCTGTCCCATTGTCACTTTGAACCATTTTGATTTTGTGAGAAAATTGTCGTTCCACCATAGCAAAAAATGTCATAAACATAGAAAATACTTCAGTTTTGTCAACAAGGAGATAAACCCAGACAGCTCGAGAGTAATCATCAACAATAGTTTAGAAACTTCTAGCACCACAAGAAGATGGGGTATTATAAGGTCCCCATAAATCACAATGTATAAGTTCAAAAATACGAGTAGATTTGGTTGTACTAATAGGAAAAGAATCTCTACTATGCTTAGCCCGAAAACAAACTTCACAAGGCTGAGAAACAAAATTGTGAGAACCACTCACAGGAGGCAACCACCTCATTATCGCCTCAGAAGGATGCCCTAATCGTTGATGCCAGACGTCTCCAATATCTAACTCCTTGCGAACGCCAAAAACATGATTTTCTGGAAGATCTTGAAAGTAGTAAAGTCCATTCCTCCGTTCACCCGTCCCAATCAGCCTCCTCGAGTGCCGGTCCTGTATAGTACAAATGTCAGAAGTGAATTGAACAAAGCAATCAATATCCTCTGTAAGTTGAGAAACAGATACAAGACTACAGTTCAATTTGGGAACAAATAACACATGTGTAAGACGTAGAGTGTCAGATAATTGAACTGTTCCTGCTTTAGCCGCTTTCACCTTTTGCCCGTTTGGTAAACTAACAGAACAAGTACTTATCTCTTTAATATTTCTTAAACACCCAAGATCACCCGTCACGTGATTGGTTGCGCCAGTATCAATTATCCAAGACGAAGTATCAAACTTACCAGAAAAACGATCATTCAATGTGTGCGGTTTACCAAACGCAGCAATAAGTGCTTTCCACTGTTCGGGTGAAAAACTGGGAAGACCCTGTCCATCTCCCTGATGTATTTGGTTAGTTCCGTTCCCTTCATCAACTGTCTCCACGCGGGCACTGGAAGACGTCCCTTCCAAAAGTGTTGCGTGAGCCCTTACTCCTCTCCCACGCCCTGCTACTGTTCCGCCACGCCGACCCGTGCCTCTGCCCCGTCCTCCGGGTTTAAAATCAGTCCTCGGTCTATCACCCCACCAGTCTGGGTAACCAATTATTTCAAAACAATTGGAAATATCATGTCCGGATACTTTGCAATGGCTGCACACAGTACCGGGTTTGTCCGCTTTGTTGCTTTTGATTTTATCTCGCCCATCTGTGCGCACAGCGAAGCCCATAACGTCGGCTTTATCGTCTCGAGTCTGCCCCATTCCCTGTACCCTTTCTTCTTGACTTACTTGCTGGTAGGCACGGTTCAGAGTAGGGAGCGGTGTTTGAGTGAGGAGCTGCGAACGAACTGCACCAAAGTGTTCTGGGTATAGTCCCATAAGAAATTGATGGAATCTTTGAGATTCACGGCGCTTCTCCAACTGTTTGGTTAAATCACAGGTGCAACCTTCGCATTTACACACAATTAAGGGTTCAAAGTTATTCAATTCATCCCAAAGGATTTTCAATTTTCCTTAGTATGTCCCAACACCCATTCCCTTTGTTTGTTCGCACCGAGCAAGGTCCGTTTTCACCTGGTGCACTCTTGGACCGTCAACCATGGAAAATCTTTGCTTCAAATCATTCCACAGAAGGCGAGCATCCTCGTAGTTGGACAGAGCGTGTTTCAAATCAGCCGAAATAACATTCAATAACCAGGAAACAATCATCGAATGTAAGGTCATCCAGTCCTCCTCCGTCCATGGTGGCTTCGGTTTCAGAACGCTACCATCGACGAAGCAATATTTCCTTCTCGCCCACAGCGCCAGACGGACAGAATTTGACCACTCTTCGTAATTGTCGCCATTCAACCGCACTGGCGTGATAAAATCGCCCGGTCGGTCTTGTGGTCCCAGAAAAAACGGAGAGGAATGGTCTCTCTTCTCCTCCGTCTCTGCAGCTTCGGTTTCCACCGTGGTTGTGGCACGACAGCCTTCTCAATTTGGGAGCTCTGATACCATGATATAAGCTAAAAGTGAATATAATAATAGTATTATTTCAATTATTGTTCTGCCTCTACAAACGTGAGAGCATAGGTATATAAATACCCATATGGTCAACAAAGCAAGTCAACATAAAAGGAAATACTTAACCTAAATACAATATCCGTATGATATACTAATAATGAGAATATAGCTACATAATCAGCCAAATATTTTGGCAAATAATATAATATCTCGTAATAATAAATAAAATATGATTGATATTTAAATGATCCTACATATGTTTTGATTCCTAATGAATGAACAAGCGATAACGAACAAAAACAACAACATCCAAGTCTTAATCCCAAAAGAAACAAGCGATAACGAACAAACGTAGAAAATAAATCTATGGAGTATGAACTACTTTTTTAAATATTTCCATATGTATGTGTATATGTATGTATGTATATATATATATATATATATTGCCTATATGCTGGTTACAAGCCCCCTTTTTTTCAATCCAAAGGAGTTGGGTAAAGAAGTGTTTGGTTTGACTGTGTGTACACATACGTACATGGATGCAGAGGCTTCTAGATGCATCTCACAGGGACTTGAGAAGAGCGAGAGCGGCAGCACTGAACATAGTGCCGACGAGTACTGGTGCAGCCAAGGCAGTGTCTCTGGTGCTGCCGAGGCTGAAAGGCAAGCTAAATGGAATCGCTCTCCGGGTCCCAACCCCTAACGTCTCGGTCGTTGACCTGGTCGTGAACGTGGAGAAGAAAGGGGTGACGGCGGAAGACGTGAACGGAGCATTCAGAAAGGCAGCGGAGGGTCCCCTGAAGGGAATTTTGGACGTTTGTGACCTGCCCCTCGTCTCGGCTGACTTCCGAAGTACCGACGTGTCCTCCACCATCGATGCCTCGTTGACTATGGTGATGGGTGATGATATGGTCAAAGTTGTGGCATGGTATGACAATGAGTGGGGATACAGGTACGTACATACTGCAACCTCTTAATTTTATAGGTATCTAGCTAGCTGTTCAACATGTTACATGTGGGACCTCTCCCTCTCCAAACAATGAATTAAAATGTGGGGCTGCGTCATTTGCGTGCTTAAAATATGGTGTGGCATATTTTGCAGCCAACGGGTGGTGGATTTGGCACATCTAGTGGCAAGGAAGTGGCCGGGCAGGGCTGCTGCTGCTGCTGCAAGTGAAGACCCCTTGGACGATTTCTGCAAGACCAACCCCAGTGACGAGGAATGCAAAGTCTATGAAGCTTAAATCCATCACTCCCCTTGTCTTTATTTATTTAAAAAAATATGCAAAAACCACTATTGAATTTGGATTATGGAAGGAATGGGGTATTCTTCATTCCTTTTGTATTTATACTTGCAAGTCTAGTTTCCATTCAACACATATTATTATGAGCTGTAGAAGCTTTCCTTTATTATCTTTGAGCTGATCTATTGTACATATACTAGTATACTGCCACACGCTCACCGTATATGTACGTTTTTCATTTTTGAAGTAGGCCTATCTCTACTATCTACGGAGAAGTATATATGCCGCAGCATGTTACGTAGTACAACTCAAGGTTTCCTTTTCATTATTACAATTTTATAATATATACGGAGTATATATACACAAATGTTTCTGTCAGGTGTATCTGATAAGAGCCGCCGTCCGGGCGTCCGGCCACCACGTTTTGAGGTAGTTTCCGGTGAAATTTTTTTATGAAACTTTTTTAACATGTTCTTCATCAAGTCTAGTATATTCATACCAAATTTCAGCAAAAAATTCAATCGAGAAGATAGTCAAATGATTTGTGTAAGATAACTGCGTTTTATATGTATATAACGGGCGCAGTTAACTTCCAAAAATCATTTGAGTACCTTCCCGATTGAAATTTTAGCTAAAATTTGGTATGGATAAACTATTGATGAAGAACATGCTCAAAAAATTCCACCGGGAACCACCTCAAAACGTGGTGGCCGGACGGCGGCTCCGGCCAGGTATACCTGACTGGTTAGGTATACCTGACCGAAAGATTACTATATACTCCCTCTGTTCTTTTTTAAATGCAACATTGAACTTTTTTCACTATTCACATATTCTATTTTGACTCGATTTTGTTTATTAATGTATTATAAATTAAATTTAAAAAAATTGTTAAATTCCTCTTATTTTAAATTTTCAAAATCTTATTTTTTTAATCTTTTTAATAAGGAATGAAAGATATTAATGGTCAAACTTGTGCATTGCCAAACGTGAAAAGTGGACCGTTGCATTTAAAAAACAGCGAAGGAAGTATATATATAGGGGATGGTTCAAATACAAAGAGGTGTTCCCATGAAAAGTGAGATTTAATCTCATGCATTCATTTTCAGATCTAATGGCTCAAATTGAGCCAAAAGTGAACTAAATTTGATCAAAAACGCGGTGACAATTTTGTAATTAAAGTGAAGTTTTTTGTCACCGCGAAAAGTGCAACAGAAACACGCAAAAGTGCAACGCGGCAAGGAAAAAGTGCAAATGTTCGCACTTTGCACGAGAGAACATCTTTTTATTTGATATCTGGGGATGGTTCAAATACAAAGAGGTGTTCCCATGCAAAGTGAGAATTAATTTCGTGCATTCATTTTCAGATCTAATGGCTCAAAATGAGCCAAAAGTAAACTAAATTTGAACAAAAACGCAGTGGCAATTTCGTAATTAAAAGTGAAGCGTATAGCACGCGGTGGAAAACTGTCAAATAAGTTCATCTACTTTTATCAAAAAGTCAATTGAGTCCTTCTACTTCAAAATGATTCAATTGAGTCCACAAAGTCCTAAAAATAGCCAAATTAGCTTATTAACCGGTAATGAACCGGTAACCAACCGCACACCTACGTGGAAGTCCACTTAGAATTATTTTACTGTTTTCTGTTTGTTTTACGGGGGTGTCCCCAATGTGGATTTTAATGGATTTTAAAAGATTTTAGAATTTCATCACAATCTGGGTGTCCTCAATTTGGAGTTCAATAGATTCAATTAAAATATGGGTGTTCTCAATATTTTCATGGATTTCAATTATTATTTGTTATAATGGATTTTAAAGGTTTCTAGTGGATTTCTATGCATAAAACATTCCATCCAAAATATCTTCTAACCCCTTGGGATTTCAAAATCCATCTCATCGTTCGTTACATACGCATAACAGCTCTCCCGTGGAGAAGCAAAACAAATTAACAAACGGACTTTCCAGAGCTTACTTGTAAAATAATCTGTCACTCTCCAGAGCTTACCTGCACAACAAGCGGACTCTCCACAGTGGTCCACTATATCATATCATTGCATTGTCCATGCTTGAAAGGAATCTGTCACTCTAATGCTTGATGGGTTATGCTCTCTAATCAGAGTGGTCCACTAAAATGCGTAGCTGATTATGAATCTCTTGGCTCTTGCGAAAGACATAAATGCTTGATGGGTATTGACGTATTGTTCGATATGCCAAGACTTGTGAGGATGACACCGGCAACCTAGATCCGCCGCCCCTTTTCTTCTTCGGCTGTGGAAGCTGTATTGCTAAAACCTAATGTACGGACTGTTGAGAATCAAACAGGATTTCAATTTCAAATTACACGGATTGTATACAATTCCATTAGAATTTCGTTGACTCTATACAATTCCATAAAAATACACAAAAATCTTAATCCTTTAAAATCCATTAAAATCGGGACACACTTTTTCTCTCCCTACCAACCCTGCGACCATATCCACCCGCACTACCCTTTCCTCCATTTCCGCCGGGCGCCGCCCTGACTATCATATCCACCGCTTCCTCCACCTCTGACCCATAGAACCAGTCGTCACGCTCTTTTTCCTCTGTCCTCTCCCACCGTCCTGTCCGTCCACTGCCGCGAGAAGATGATGCCAGACTGCTGGAATTCCAGAACAACTACTCTGGGATGTTCAAAGCTCTGGAGAAAGAATTCACCGATAACGGTAAGATCGGATTGAATGAGCCAACAATCAGGCGGCTTTCAATTTCTTGTCATGTTCACTCTATGTCTCTATGGCATCAATTCTGCATCGATGAAGCGTCGGATGCGTCAAGGTCATCGGAAAATGGGTACTGTTCAATCTCCATCCTGTTTTCTGTATTAAGCCTCATACGACAGCCAACCCCTGCCTGGCCACCTCATCCCTATTATCCGGAAAGAGGGTTTAATACATCAAACCCCCTCGTGATATAGATATTTAGCGCGTTAAACTCCTGTGATTTGAAAAATGCATCAAACTCTTTTGTGTTTTAATTAATCATGTACAAAACCTCTTTTATGAATAAATTTAACGATTTGGAAATCACTTTTCCTAATATTTTGATTGAATATGCAAGTAAATATGTCAAAATCTCTAAATCATATAAAAATGTTAATCAATTTTCTTTCATTTGACAATTGAATCTATTCATAAAAGGGGTTCTGTGCATAATTAATGAAAACACAGGGGGGTTTGATGAATTTTACCGAGTAAAAGAGACCCAAAAGTGAAAGGAGCAGAGGCCTGGACTCTGGAGTTGTACGATACTATGGAGAGGGGAGGGGAAGAAAGAAAGAGAAAAGCAAATATGTAGTAGAAAAGAAAAAGTAAAAAAATGGAAAACTCTAAAAAAAATTACTGGCTCATTACCGGTGAAAAGGCCAATTTGGCTATTTTTTAACACTTTGTGGACTGAATTGATTCACTTTGAAATATATGAACTTGATTAACTCTTTAGTAAAAGTAGATGGACTTATTTGACAGTTTTCCCATATATATATAACACTTAAACATTGAAGGATAGTTTGTGCTAGTTAGGGGTGGACAAGGTCTCGAGTCTCGACCCCGGGACCGGATATCATGATCGTGAATTGTGATATCCAGTTCCAGGTTGGGGGAAAGCACCGGATAGGCCGGGTACCGGTCCCGCTTGCTCATTTTCGAGATCGTGACTGACTGGTCCGGTCCTGATTCTGTCCCTATGTGTATTTCTTTTGCTTTCCCCCTTTTCCTATTGGTAAGTTAATATAGTTGTTAGTTGTTGGGGGACATTGGAGTCTCTTGGGGCTCTTAATTAGATCGTTGTAGAGGTAGGGGGTTTAAAATAAATTTCTACAAATGCCTCTTAATTTTCTCGTTTTCCTATAGGGTAATCTCGTCTTTAACTTATTTAATATTATTCATACTAGTATCTCACCTGTGCGTTGCACGGGAGGTTATTTTCGATTTTAATGTGCAAGTGAGAAGGTCCATCGATGCATCGGATTTGAACTCAAACTTAACTTAGACCTATGTCTTTCAAAAGGTCCGAGTCCACAAATAATATATTTAATTAATTTTTATTTTTATTTAGGATTTTATTTAATTGAGGACTCAAAAGATATCTTTACTGTTAATCAAGTGCATGAAAGATAAAAATATATCAATTTGGGGGCAGATTGAAATAAAATTGCCAGGCAAAGACCTAATAAATCATAAATAATGATTCATTATTATAAATTTCGATGCATATTCGATGCCATTTTTCCTTCATTTGCAATGAATCCAAGGACTCACTATTTTTTGGTTTGGGAATATGATGGAATAAAACAAAATGTCTCACTAAACTGTCTGGGTTTCTTTGTTATGAAGCAGCAGTCAGTCTATGCAATTTTCGACGCAATTTTCACCATGGGTCATCCGGAAACAGTCTCTTTGTACTGTAATACAGAGGTAAGGCTGCGTACATCCGACCCCCTACCCCACCGTAAGTGGGAGCCTTTGCGACACTGGGGTAATGATGAAGAAAAGAATTGGATGCCATGTCTTATATATTACTTAAAATAAATAAAAAATCATTTGATTTGTATTAGACCCAATGACAAAGTGTGGGTTTTTAAATTTAACAAAATGTCTATCTGGATACAAATCAAGCCACAATTCTATATATAACATGACATTTGGAAGTGCTACACTTGTTCTTGTCCTAATTAGTTAAAAGAAAAAATCACCGGTGAAGACCAAACATGGTATTCTCTGATGTATGTCTCTGTTTTCCAATACAAACACGATTTAGTCAAGATAAAAGATTAATCCGACATCAATGAATAATGCCTCAAGATCCGTGTTGGATCGATTCACCCCTTTTGACAAACTTCCCAATGGGTCACCTATCCTTGGGTTTTCTTACCCCGAGCTCACTTAACTGCAGAGTTCTGTGATTAAATAGCAGTCATATCTTTCTTAAAACCAATTGATAATAAGGAAGTGAACACCCTCTATTTAACCCATTACTCTATAGTCACTAAGTCAAGGTAGATTCATGTGGGGCACCCACCACAGTTTACTACGGCAGTGCATAGCCCCAATACTGAGCACTGGATGGACATGAGGGGCCGCACCACATCGCGGTGACAACAGGTTGGCGGTTAAGCCCTGAATCAAAGGGTGGTGTTGATCCCCATAAGACCAACAACGCAAATAAAAAACAAAAAGTAACAGTAATATTGGACTTATTGTAATACATCTAACATGTATCAATCTCCAAGTAATATTTCACTCTAAGAAATTAAGTAAAAATGTTTAGACACATTAACACTTTGACAGTACAATCAGGACAACAAATAGGACTGGGAAATACATGCATTGAATCATTCACAATACATTAATTAATATATACACACTTATATGAACAATGATTTTCCTGATAAAGAATCCGACCTCTATTGGAATTTGACTAATATAGAGCTGAATATTGATTTTGTTCCCATCAATGGCTGACTTTACTAAAAACAATATGAAAACAAAAAGCAGATATCACAGTTTAGGTTGTCTAGAATATCTTACATGGATTGATAGAAATATAAGTGGATTCATAAAAATAAGGTAAATAAGGTAAATTTAGGATATATGCATAAAAATAAAAATCATATGCTTGAGCATATAAATAAGGTAAATATAGGATTCATAAAAATAAGGGAAGAAAATTCAAGGGATTAGAGAACTTTGATTTTTGTTGATTCATGAGCAAAGTATTAAGTGGTAAAGCTTTTCTAAAGTATATCATGTTCTATCAATCTCTAAGTAATATTTCACTTTCTAAGAAGTTAAGTAAAAATGTTTAGACACATTAACACTTTGACAGTATAGTCAGGACAACAAATAGGACTTGAAAATACATGCATTGAAATCATTCACTACGCTGCACTCATTTGTAATGACTCTAGATTTGATCTTGGGTTAATAGGCCAAATTTTCAGTGACAACTTAACCTATGTGAAAGTGAAATGGTTGCAATAAAATACAGAGTAATTAAAAAAAAATGTGAATATATAGAGTTAAATGGGCAACTTGTAGTTATTTAGTACTTAAGCACACTGGATATGTGGCCAGGGCCGTGTCTAGGGAAGGGCAGGCCTGAGGGGAAAACTAAAATGGGCTTATATTCAAAGGAAAAAATGCAACCGTAAAAGAAACTTATTTATTTTTCTTGCCTTTCTGTTAAGATCCGGGGTTCCATCCTAAAAGGTCAACCTGATAGGAGGAGTAGCCCATGTGTTAATATAGCACTTTATTCATCCAAATGTTTCCGGTGTGGGACATTTAACACCCCTCCTCACGACCAGACACTTCGTCTGGATCGTGCAATCATTCATTTTTTTTTTCATCGGTCCGTTTTTTTATCCGGCCGTTTTTTATAATCGTGTCATCATTTTTCATAAGGGGCCCCACACCATGGATCGATTTGGCTCTGATACCATGTTAAGATCCGGGGTTCCATCCTAAAAGGTCAACCTGATAGGAGGAGTAGCCCATGTGTTAATATAGCACTTTATTCATCCAAATGTTTCCGGTGTGGGACATTTAACACTTTCAGTTGCATAATCGCTTATTACAGGAGAAGTATGGTCATATGGTCCGTGTGAAAAGAGGTAATTTGCACAAAAAGAAGTAATTAGGATGGTTTTACTTGGACCGTAATTTGCTAGTATGGTCTGATCTGGTCTGTTTAAATCTGGTCTGATCTGGTCTATTTAAACGTGGTCTGATCTGATCTAGTAAACGTCTGGTCTCTGTGGACTTTAGAACTACGGAAATCAAGTCTGGTTGTTCTGATCTGTTTAAATCTGATCTGATCTGATCTGGTCTATTTAAAGCTAATCTGGGATTGAAAACAATCCAGATAAAAATACTCTTAGAGAAGAAAAGAATTAGAAAACCCTTAAATTGATACTCCTTCTGTCCCATTTTATTAGATATCTTTACTATTCACTCGGCCAACACAAATCACTTTTAATCGCTTACTTTATATATCAAAATTTTATGAAATTTGAATTATTTTTTGCAGATTTTGTAGCAGTTTTAAGTTTGAATATGTAATTTTCTTTTTCTAAAAATAATTAGGAAAAGTATGAAAAAGGTACTTGTGGTTGGGCCCGTTTTCAGATAGGGTCATGTGTTTCATTTTTTATCAAAGTGGTTCATGTGTTTGAATTCCGTTATCAAAAGAGGGTCACGCCGTTAAAAACGCCTGAAAAAAACCGTTAAAAGTAACTCCGATTTTCAAAAGTGCCCGGAAAATTAAAAGAAAAATACTGAAAGGTGTGCCTCGTCAAGATGACCTCCAAACCACCTCCGCCTATGGATTTTTCAGATATGTTTGAATTATTTTTTAAAAATGATTTCGCTAATATCACTTTTCCGGTGGAATTTTCGGTGACAAGTGTGGCTGGAAAAAAAAAAGATAGCCTAGCGGTCGTGTTATTGAGGCGCACCTACCGGTATTTTTCTTTAAATTTTTCGGGCACTTTTGAAAATCAGAGTTACTTTTAACGGTCTTTTTTAGACGTTTTTAACGGCATGACCCACTTGTGATAACAAAATTCAAACACATGAACCACTTTGATAAAGAATGAACACATGACCCTATATGAAAACGGACATAACCACAAGTATCTTTTTCGTACTTTCCCCAAAATAATTTGAGTGTAGACAGGGATCCGTTTGCTTTATCGTCGGTCAAACATCGTCAACCAAAAAGTATCTTATAATTTGGGACGGAGGGAGTAATTGGAATGCACCTTATACACTTAATATTTATTATGATGTCTTGGGAAATGTCCGTTGTGGCCTTTGTGGCTTGTGATAACTGTTAGTTTTCCCATAGATAAGGCTTGATTTTTCAATCATTTACAATTGAGTTGAGAATTGAGATATTCTAAAAACGAATAGACCCTACTAAAGAATACTCCTGACCGTAGTAATACTAATACATAGACACTAGTAAAATGAGGCCTTAATTTTTTTGGGGCCTGAGGCAAAGGTCTCAGCAGCCTCAAAGGTTCCACGGGCCTGTATGTGGCAATGATTTAGTACATAGATTTTGAGAGATTGCTCCGATGGTTTAGTACTTCAACGTATTATATTACTACCAGTAAAATTACCACCACTAAGATGTACTCCCTCAGTCACATTTTATAAGATACATTTCCTATTCACGTGGTCAGCACAAATCGCTCTTAATATCTTACTTTCATTTCATTTTCATTTACCCCAGTGCCGCAAAGGCTCCCACCTACGGTGGGGTAAGGGGGGGTCGGATGTACGCAGTCTTACCCCTGTACTAAAGCACAGAGAGGCTGTTTCCGGATGACCCATAGTGAAAATCGCAATCAAAATTGCATGAACTGACTGCTGCTTCATAACAAAGAAGCGCAGACAGTTTAGTGAGCCATTTTGCTTTATTCCATCATATTCTCAAGCCAAAAAATAATGAATCTTTGGCTCCATTGCAAATGATGGAAAATTAATATCTTACTTTATATATCAAAATTTTATGAAATTTGAATTATTTTTTCAGGTTTTGTAGCGATTTTAATATAGTTTCTGAATATGTAAATTTTATTTTCTAAAACTAATTTGAGTGTTGACAAAGATCAATTTGCTTTATCGTCAGTCAAACATCGTAAACCGTAAAGTGCCTTATAATTTGGAACGGAGGGAGTATTCAAATTCCTAATATTTGATTTGATGTAGCCATGTAGGTGATATATAAGTAGAAAGGGAAATTAATGTTCGGGAGAGTGGAAATAAACCACCCAAACGTTAAAAAGAGCATCTGAATGGTTATCATACGTGTCCAATACCTCTGTTAGTAATATATGGTTCGTGAATAATACAATAATACGTACGTTCGTGTATAATACGATACAATTATATAAAATACGACTTAATATATGTTTCATACGTTCGTGAAATATATAAAGATACGGACGTGTTTTAAACATTTCACAATTTAAAAATACGGCATAAAATATGTGTCTTATATACTAAATTAATGATAGAAATAAAGAGTTATTTAACATTTGCACCACATTCTTCAACAATTTAAAATGTATGGAATAGTTTTTTCATATATACGGATTTGAATGCATAGGTACAATTAGTAATAAAAATGGCATGACCTATTTGAGTAGAAGTAGAGAGATATTATTAGAGAATAATTGATATCAGTGTTGTGAATAGCGGCGCAATAGCGCACAATAGCGGAAAAGCGGAGCGGCAGACCTGTTAGGCGCTACAAGGAGGGGTCTCGCATAGCGTTTGAGAGTTGCGGTCATAGCGCCCGCTATCGCAGCGGTGCGCAGGAGAGAATAGCGGCCGCTAACACGACGCTTTTTATGGTGAAGAGTACTGCGCTAAATTTTAGCGTTAAAATTTTTAAGCGCAGACATAAGGGGGTAAATTAGACTTTTAAAACAAAATATTAACCTAGTTAAAACCCTCAGACGTAAGTTAAAGGCTACAAAAAGCTCAAACCGAAGCCAGCTTTTTGAAAATAGTCCGCCGCACCTCTGCGATGGCTCTAACGACCATCATCTATTTCTTCTGCTCTAAATTTTTTGACTGTTAATTTATCAAGGCTTAAACTTTTATACTAGAACCTTAATTTTGACTCAATGTTTTGATTTAAGATGTTTTAATTAGTAATAGCAACTTATGTTTTGCTCATGAAAGTATGAAACTAAGGGAGTGTTTGCAATTGCTTCAACTTTAAAAAAATGATTTTTTAAAGTGATTTTGGGAAAAGTGATTAATAGTAAAAGTTGGTAGTGTTTGAGAAAAAAGTGATTCTAAAAAAGTAAAAGTTGGTAGTATTTGGTAAAATAAGTGCTTTTTGTGTAATAGAAAAAGTGAAAAGCAGTTTAAAGCACCCTTCTACCTGCTTCCAGCTTTTAGATTTTAAGTGATTAATTTAAGCAGAAGCTGTCATTTGAAAACACTCTTTTCAACTTTTTTTAAGCCAAAAGCTGAAAAGCGCTTTTTTTAAGCAACCGCAAACACTCCCCAAAGAGTATTTCTAAGTAATTTAGGTGGGTGAACCTA